GCCAAAACAATATTCTGTCTTAATGTAAATATAAATATGCTCATTTGTTATATTTATTTTTCAGTAAAATATTGAATCATTTTACTCTATTAGTTATTAATTATGAGCGTGTCATATTTGTCAGATATCATTTATCTTGTAATTACCAAAAGATAATATGGTATAACTCAAGTAAATATCATGCCAGTACATATCCAACTATCAAACTGCTCCTATTGTTTGAGACTATCGCCATTGGATAGTGGTTGAACTATGAGTAAAGGGTCACTGAGAACCTGAATAAGTGAAATTTCAAGCTAATGTTTTCTTCGTAAACCGACCATATAATTACTAGAAATTCTTTAATATTTGAGCCAGAGTGAACGCTTCCTGGTTCAGTTATTCACATTTTAAAGAAACAACTATTTTGGACTATATTTCAAAAATATGATATTATCATACTAAAACTCATCTCTCAATCAAGATAGGTTTGTTCTGGTTCAAACTTTGAGAAATTTCTATTGACAATAAAGCTTGTCATTAGATACATCACATCCATATCTACAAGCCTGTACAATCAGGTTTTTGATTTAGTTCTACTGAAGAGTTTGAAAAGAGGGCTATATTATAAAAACCCTTGTTCTGTTTTGTAGATGCTGGTAAGATGTGTCGAATGAGCTCTATGGTTGCATATTTACAGAATAATGAAAAAGTATCAGGCTTATTAGAAGAAAATATATGCATCCAGTCTCTGTAAATTGTCTAGTGTTTATGATTGGAATTCATAAACCAAGAAATAATTCAATGAAGTCTTATAATCACTTCTTATTTAGGTAAATAAATTTATGGAAATTTCTAAATCACAAGAAAATGCCTTAGTAAAAAAACATCATGTACAAAATAATTTAGAAAAAAAATTATGTATAACAGCAACTGATCTTTCTCAATTACTTAATCATGTTCTTAAACTTGATCGTCTCAAACATATCATTGATATGATGACAATAATGAAAAACTATATACATTTACATCCAATAAATACATTCAATGCACTCAAACCATTAAAATTAGAATGTAAATATAATAAATAGGATTAATTTA